GGGGAGGGGGGATATTGAGTTGTCCAGATTTCACGTAATAGGACTGCAAGTCTTCAAGCAATCAAGAATCAATGCAAAAGTTCACAAATCAGAAACCATGGAACAAATTCAGAAACAACAGTTACACGTATATATATCATTCTATGGAGATAAGTACCTGAGCTAAGACCCATCCAACAAGCCAGTCAATGTCACTTCTGTGGTTGCAAATGAGAAGTGCATGTTCTTTACCTAACAATAACTCAAACATAAGCTGATGCACTAAACAAGGTATTCTAATCGTGATGGATGGAAAATATCTTAATTTCTTAACATTACCAAATAACTCAGGCACTCAGCAAACGAGAATTGCTTACCCATTAATTGCAACGTTTCAGAATCTGAGTACAGCTCGACCTGTCAGAAGCAATGACTAGTCACTGACATGATATTAAAAACTATAACCCAACATAAACCAATGAACAAGGAATACTTAACGTGTTACAGAACAATTTTAATATTGCTAAAAACAATGAGCTAAACTAGCTCATATCATTCTTTAGTAAAAAAATATCGAAAAGTTTCAGGTTAACTTTTACTCTGCCTAACAAATGTTTAAGGCTTGGGAAATTCATTACTGTGTGCCCTAAAATATGAAATCTGGGCAAATCAATGCATCATTCAAGTGCCTGAAAATGTACAGCCGTGTCTGTGTGGCATAGGCTCTTGGTATAGTTAAACATCTAACTAATCCTTGATACAGAAAGGTTATTCTCATTTGAATTCGCCTAAAAACAATTAAAGTAATTTCCACTGACTGAGTTGCACTTTTGAGACGTGGCTTGAAAGTTGAAAATATAAAATCATGTAAAGAATAATACTAGCCTTTACTCACCTTAATGTTTGCCCACCAGTCGAAAAGCCATATGACCTCCAACCACAACAGCTCTGTGACTACTTTGTTGATCCTTCTGTACATACTCTTTGAAAATTGGCGAACAAGGATAAAGAAAAGTGCCTGAAAGTGAAACTATGTGAACAAAACTGAACAAATGTATCAGGTAACCCAAATTCAATTTATTTGAAACATATAAATAAACATGACAAAATTCCATTCCATCCCATAACTACATTTTCTGTACAAATATATTACTTTTGTGAATTTAAATGCGCTCAGAGGGTAATGGTTGGCTGGCTGAAATACCAGGCCACATGGCATATAAAAAAATTGAAACATGAACAATGAACAAAAAACTGTGGCCAAATTTTTCACTAGACAGCTAGGTGAATACCAATCAAGTCACTTCTATCAAATACCGAATTAAAAGGGAGTTGAAAAAAACTGGTAATCCTTCAATTGGTGCTGCATTTGGCTTCATTTGGATGATAAAAAATAATCAAGAAAAAGCATAAGTTTGATGTAGGATTTGGATGCTGTTTCACTTTTCTTTCAAGAATCTCTGAAAGATGTAAGTCTATCATTGTGAATGGGTCCATGAATGGAAGTTGTAGAAATTAAATCAGTCTCACGTATCACACAATGTTGCTGTGTCAAATTTAACAATATTATCAGGTAGACGTCTTCCATTTCCTGTAATGGCTACATTGCAGAGATCAATTTGCCAAGAAGGTTATATATAGAACATATTATTCCCAAAAAGATGTATCACCTTAACATTTAAACTGTATTTGAAACAGAAATTACTCTTAGGAACGGAAAAGGAATTATTAAAATCCTGTTTTCTAAGAGAGCTCAAATTGTTTTTTTAAGCACTATGAATTTCAAATGTTGTTGAAAAGTAATTCAACTCAACATTTGAATTTAAGTATTGTTTATTCATCCAAGAACTAAACTGGGTCTTGAAACCGGAAAGTTGTGACAATCTAGATATAACCAAATCAAATTGTAGACAGCCTCGTAACAATCTTTAAGAATCTACATTGTGAGGCAGATGCAAAGTACTACGAGGAATGACAAATCTAACAAGGGGAAGAAATGAATTAATAGAGGATTTGAGAGCGAACATTGAAAAAAAGAACTGAGGCAGATGAATACCTGAATGAAGTTGACAATGATTCCTGAGAGAAGGAAGAGTAGCCCCAGTGGAAGAATAACAGCTGCTGGAATCGCCATTGCCACATCCAAATGCAAACGAGACAGAGAGAGACTAGAGAGAGAGATCTGTAGAGACGAACGAGAGAGAGAGAGGATGTTTCGTTGGCGAGCTGACCGTTGTAAGAAGATGGTCTCTAACTGAAATGCTAACTTGCGCTTTGCTCATCACGCGATTCCAGAAGTCCACTTCTAATTAATCAGCATTACCATAAAAGGTTTAGTTCAAACACGTGAACGATTCCAATTCCATCTGGCACAATCTGTTTTTCGGTTTATCTCTCCTAAAATAATTTAATTTGGGCCAGAATATAGGAGATTAATCAATATACGTGCTTAAATTGGTCTAAACTCCCATATGGCGGCCTAATTTCAGCCCAACCCGAAAAATACAAGGCTTGGGTTGAAGTTTTAAAAAATAAAAATTAAAAGTGAGTCCTCTTAGATGTACTTGTTTGGAGATAAGTCTTACAAGAAAACTTATAAGAAGTTAAATTCATGTTTAAAATTATATGTGATGACTTAAGTCCACTTTTTTCTTTTCTCTCTCGTATCTATCTATATTTATATATAGGTTAAGAATTTGACTAATATTAAAAAAATTTCTCTCTCTTATCTATTTATATCCATATATAGGTTAGGTATACATATATATAGTAATATTAAAAAAAATAGTAATATTCAAATACAAAAAAAAATTTACAATGAATTTGAATAGTAATATTCAAATTCATGTTACTATTTTTTATTATGTTACTGTTTTTGTTGAATATGTTATTATCCATGTACTATTATTTTTTAGAATGTTACTGTTTTTGTTGACCATGTTATTACTATTATTTTCCTAAATATTAATATTCAATGTTACTATTTTTATTTTTTTTTGGAATATTACTATTTTTGTATTTGAATGGTACTATTTTTTACCTTTGAATTTGAGAGAAATAATTATTGTTAAATATGTTACAGTTTTTGTTAAGCATGTTACTATTTTTGTTGAATATGTTAATATTTTTGTTGAACATGTTACTATTATTATTTTTTAAAAATATTAATATTGAATGTTTCAACTTTTTTTATGTTTAAATGTTACTATTTTTTTGTGTTTAAATGTATTATTTTTTGTGTCCAAATGATAACTTTTTTTTGTATTTGAATGTTATTATTTTTTATTTTTAATGTTACTCTATATATAGACACATATATATAACCTATATATAGATAGATAAGAGGGAGAAAAAATTTTAATGTTAGTTAAACTCTTAACTTATATATGGATATAGATAGATACGAGGGAGAAAATATTTTAATGTTAGTGAAACTCCTAAAATTTAAGAGTTTTTAATTTTTAGTTTTATTTCACTTCTAAATGGAAGGGATATTATGGTAAAATTGACAAAAAATAGACTTCATAACAAATAAGTTTCTTTTACGGACTTAAATTCAAACAAATCCATATAAGGGGACCGACCTCCAAATTTCAAATTTCCCTTTTAAAAAAGTGCATTTGGAAATCCATACAAAAATTTGAACTTAATTGACTTAAACTATATTAAGAAAACTTATTTGACCCTAAATTCATTTTTTTGAAAAAAAAAAACTAAAAGATCATTCATTACTCCATTACTCTTTTACTAACTCTTCCCTATTTTTTTTTTTATCTCTTTTCCCCTATTCTATCTTTCTTTCTCTCCCTCATTGATAATTTATTTTATATTTTATTTTCAAATATGTAAATATTTGACTTGATTTTTTCATCGTTCTCTCCCCTATTTTTTTCTCTCTCCCCTTATTTTCTCTCAGCGTTACTATTTCTCTCATTCTTCTCTATCTCTTTCTCTCTCCTTATATTAAGGTTACAATGACAAAATTACACCAATTAGTTACAATTGTCTTATAATACATCAAATAATTACTCATGTGTTCTAATAAATTAAACAGTTACATCAAATAATTACATGAAATTCCGACACTAATTCAATTTGTCATTCAATTGTTTACATAAACCAAAGAGTTACATAATTTAATATTACGACATGGTTACACTAATTATACACACCAAATTGGGTTTATCATTACACAAAAGAGTTTATCATATCACAACAAAGTTTACCATTACACCAAATTTGGGGTATGTAATTTGTATAACCATGTCATGATACTCTAAATAGTGTAACTATTTGGTTTATGCAAAGAACTGAATGAGAAATTGGGTTGTTACTGTAATTTTGTTAAATTTTTTGATATAATTGATTAGTTTATTAGAATACATAAGTAACTGCTTAGTTTGTTATAGGGCAATTGAAATTGATTGGTGTAATTGTATTGGTGTAACGTTAATATAAAGAGAAAGAATAATGAGAGAGAGTAACGATGAGAAAAAATAGGGGAGAAAGATAAAAAAAGATCAAATCAAATCTTTACATATTTGAAAAGAAAATAAATTATAAATGAAAGAGAAAAAAATAGGGGAGGATAAAGAGAGTCATAGACAGAAAGAGAGATAATAGGGGAGGGAGAGTAAAAAATTAATGGAGAGGGAGAGAGATAGAGAAAGGAATGGTGTGAGAAATAAGGAGGAAAGAGAGAGTGAACGAATAAGAATTATGTATAATTTAAGAAATAATATGTAAAATCCCGGTAGATTTAAACTTTTATGAATAAAGGGTGAAATGGTAAATTGTCACCATGATTCGGGTTGTAAATCTGAAATTTTTTGTAATTCGGATGACAAAACGGACCTCACCGTTGGATTCGTCTCGCGAAATCGAGTTACCACGTCAATTTTCGTCGAATTCTGAGATAGTCAAATTTTTCACGTTTTACGGAGCGATCGGGCTTCGGGTGACCCTGTACACGAATTTTTTTATAAAATTTTAAATTTTGGGCAATAAAATAAGATAAATTGAAATAAAAATATTTTAGATTTAAACCGGGGCGAGATTTAATTGTTCGGGACAAAAACGGACCCGGAATTAAAAATGGACATGTGGCCAATTGTGGGCCAAGTGTTCTAAAGTATAAATAGGGGGAAAAATCAGATTTTTCCCCCATTGTTCAGCATCCTCTTCAGCCGATAGAAAAGAGAGGGAAAG